CTAGATTCTCTATCAAGCCCGAGGGGAGAAATAAGATTTATGATGCAGCAAGCTCACCCAGAAGAAGCCTATTCACTCTGCCTCAGAGCCCGATCCAAGGAGGGCCGAGCCGGGCATTTGCCCAGAGCGGCAAAATTGATTTAAGGTCAGCCGTAAATAGGGCTGCCATCTCGAAAATGTGGCAACCAGGATAAGACGCGTGATAACCCCGGATTTTGGAATTTTGGAGCCCAGAACCCGGACAGACCAATAAAAAAACCGTTAAAAATGTATTAATCCAATAAAATTTTGTTGGCTCCAATTTGAGACTTGATCCAGTAATATCTCAATCTCGGACAAAAGTCTGTCTTTACACCCTTCTTCTTCCATCCGAGGGATGTTTGACCGGCCAGTGTAAAAAGTTTCAGTGCTGTCATCCACATAGCAACGAATGCTGTTATTGCGGACAGTGTAGGCGACAAAGCAGATCTTTGTTGCAAGTCAGCATTTATGGTTACAGTGTTAGAATAGATTTATTTATTTTCAAAGACATATAAATTGACGGATTAGTTGGCGACCCTAAACAGGAATTTTTTAAACCCGGACTACAAATGAAACCCCGCCCGGACGCTCCCCGGACGCCCCGTAAACTAGGACAAATCCGGGGAAACCCGGACGGATGGCAGCCCTAGCCGTAAAGCACGTCACTAAAGGGCGGCAAAATCTTTGCCCTTAGCGGCAAAACAATCTAGATGGGGCCTTGGCTTTAAAAACACTCGTATTATATGGACTCGGAATCCTGAGAGACCTTCAGTCGCTCAGTCCCAAACCGATACGGATGCACATCACAGTGCATCCGTCCTCTAAGCGCACTATGCAGTAGTATTCACTAAGGCAGCGCTGCATCACCCCATTCTCAGGGGTTGATCGCATCAGATGAAGCCTGTAAGGCCCCTATGGCCATAGGCATCCCCCACGGGTGTGTTTTAGTCAGTAAGAGTCTGTAATAACCCTACAGCCGGCTGTAGGGTATCCATGTAGGGATTTCACACCCGCTCCCCCGCCTGGGAGGAAACAAAAAAAAATGGACTCGGAAACACAGACTTCAGGCAGAATTCCATCTCTATTCTGTGACATGGAAGAGCTGCTGAATGGGCAGCCACATTCAGGGGCATTTATTAGGCTGACGATGATGACGTCATGTATTTCTGTGAACTTAATTCAGAAAGGACACCCTTACTTTATTTTACTCTACAATCAGTGACTGCCTGTCTGCCTTAAAATCTAAGTATTGGTACATACAACCTTTCTAGCGTGGTGTCATAATTGTAATCAGAATCGTCCTTCCCAGTGGGCACTTTGGGCAAATTCCCAGGGTCCCGCGATCAATAGGGGCCTCCCTCAGATCAAATACAAAGTCCCTAGTTCGTAGCGGCCCCATTATCCTAATATGCCCAGGCGGGCATTCGCCTGACGGAAATGCTTTGGAAAACGCTAACGCTTACGATTTCATTTTGTTATTTCTGAACGCCGAATGTTTTCAAATACCTCACGCTCATTTTATTTCATATTGTTATTACCAATGCAAAAAGCGCGAGGCATTCGAAAACCTCAGGCGGCTAGAAATAACAAAGAGAAATCGTAAGCGTTAGCGTTTTTCAAAGCATTTCCGTTAGGCGAATGGCCCCCAAGGCCTCCAATAGGTCAAAGACGGCACTGATTGTAATAAACCCAGCAATTCACATTTATTTTAAATAGTAGAATTTGAGAAGAATACCTAGACAAATATATTTACTTTAAATACTTTATGTTAATTACAAATATGTATATGTATATAGGTCATAGAACAGATTTCCTTAACCGTTTTCATTAAATTGGGCATACTTGATAGTCTTACAGTAAGTACAGTCGATAAAGAGTTACATTTTCGCTTTTGTAATAGTTTATAGACTGTACTTATTGTAATATTATCAATATCAGTTAACTTTAACTGTTTTAATATAATAGCAAAAGGTAAAATAAACATTATTGCTCCGCTACTATAGTAAGGTGAACTTTGCCGTATTTATAACACTAGGCGTTAATAATGAAAATTTCTTAAAATGGATTTACTCACAGGAATACCTAAGCTAATTACCGGATTTAAACAAAATTAAATTTAAAGAAAATTAATAAAACATGATTTCCAAAAACTATGTATTTTGTAACTAACCTTGTTACTTTACCTATACTAATATTATAAAGCTGCAGAGTTTGTTTGTTTGTTTGAACGCGCTAATCTCTGGAACTACAGGTCCGATTTGAATGATTCTTTCAGTGTTGCTATAGGCTATATTTTTTTTTTTAAATTAGGGATCCGCAATAAAATTGCTATTTTGTAACACAAGGTGTAAAATCGAAAACCTATTTTTGCGTGCGCTGCAAAAACTATTGACAATAGAACAAAATGATGTACTACGGGTTTGTAGATCCCATTAAGACCTACAAAAAAGTCAGCGAGAACATATATCTAGCTATCATGGTTTAATCACAATAACCGATTTTGTGTTCAAAATAATTATTAAATCGTCTGAAGAAAAAAAAACTACGTTAAATATGTATCGTAATATTAATCTTTATCGAAATTAAGCATTATGTTATCAAGAGTATTTATGTAGAAGTAAAATACTTTTTGTTTCATCTCAATCGGACATTTCGTTTAAAAGTTATCACGTGTGTAAGATGTTAAGAGTTGGTACCTATATATTTTATCTCGGTATTTCCACGGAAACGAGAAAAACGCGGTTGAAATCGCGGGGCACGACTAGTGTCAAATAAAACTGAATTATGAAAATCAATAATTTTTGTCAAATAGGTAATTACCATATAATAAGTAAATTATACTTTCCATATTGCAGCAGATGTTACGATAACGTTAACTCCAAATAGCCAAAACTAGAAATGTTTAAAAAACCTTCTATACCGTTCAATTCTAACATATAATACAATTCCGCTAGAAATTAAAAGAGAAAGCAACATAAGTTGTGTTGATATAGATATTGTACTTGCAACACCCTGACAGGGTCATGTAACATGCTAAAATAATTTTAAGATCCTATACTGTATATGTGAAATTAATTAAATTAAATAAATTATAAAGGCGAAAGTTTGTGAGTGTGTGAGTATGTGAGTGTGTATGTTTGTTACTTCTTCACGTCTAAACAGCTGGAGCGATTTTAATAAAATTTGGTATGGAGTTAGCTGACACCCTAGCTAGATTAACACATAGGCTACTTTTATCCCGAAAAAATGTTAGGTTCCAGAGGGATTTTCGAGAAACTAAGTTAACGCAGACGAAGTCGCGGGCGACCTCTAGTAAATAAATAAATAGAAGAAGCCAACGTATATGCACAAATATTGACATTAAAATAATAATCCCAAATACTGCAATATAAATAAAATTAAAACAACTAAAATTAAACAATAATGTATTTGCCTAAATATTAAAACAGCTAAAATAACAGGAATCTCGAATCAAATGTTTATTCGAGTTATTGAGGTGTATGCCCAATTTAATAGAAGAATCATAAGTCTATCGCATTGGGGCCTTGTCTCATGGCTCTCTTGATGGACGCATCTCGCTTTTCGGCGACCCGCAGGCGAGCTGCTTTCAAATGCCTGTAAGAAAAGTGCAAATACATTAATAATTTATTTATTTATTTACTTTTTGGAAGACCAACAGCTATTAATAAAAATAATAATCATAATCATAATAATCATAAACAAAATCATTTATTCAGTTTAGGCTGTTACAAGCACATATGAATGTCTAGAAGCTACGCCATCGGTTCGTAAATCTACGGCGGGAGACCTTGTACTGAGAAGAACCGGCAAGAAACTCAGCAAGGGCTGTTTTTTTTCTCCCTGTTTTATCATTTACAGAGTCGTCAGGTTGAAAAATGACTTCAGAGATGATTCATGAAGTCACCCTTCATTACATAATGTGAAATTATACATTAATTGTACACCTGCATTTTGATTGCTGTGTCACACAGTATAAATACAAACAGAGTTATTTATAATAGGTGTAATTAAACATTTACATCTTAAATATCAAAGTAGTTAGGGCAGACTCATCTCCGCTGGCAGCACCTGTTCACGAGCATGACGCATGAACCAGCCATCGCTTCGCTCAACCATATTTTAGGGAACGTAACGACCCGCCTCACACGACAATAAAAACTTAAATAACAACAGAAAGCCAATAACAGGTCTTCACCAATAAAAACACACTACATCATAATTAAGCACACTTAATAATTACAAACAAAAAAAAAGCATTGTACAATTGCCTATTTGTCGAAAAATGCACTGGTCAATACCCGCCTCAGTGATGGAACGCTAGTGTAAAACAAATCTATGCCAGAAAAAAATCCACGCGGACCAGGCAGCGGACGGGACTCGAACCCGCATCCTTCGCTATCCGGGCGAATGCACTGACCATTATGCTACCACGGCCCTATTAGCCGCGTCGAAATTTTCCTAGCCTTAAGCTGCAAGGCAGCGCCATCTCTTCGCATTGTAGGTAACCCACAATGTCAAATGAATACTTTTTCAAGTATTAAACATTTGAAAGAAGAAATTGCAATTATAGTTATGATTTTATTTATTTTGGTCCGCGTGGATTTTTTTCTAGTAAACTTTTCTTTAGATTTAAACATCTAGCAGTTAAATGCTTAAAAAATAAAAAAAATCATAAATCTATGCCAGTTTTCTCAGATAAAATATTAAAACTATTATAATATACAAAACTATTTTTAAAACATATTAGGTCCTGTGTGGGACAGAGAATTATGTAACTGACTGTTTTTTTAATGTCGATTGCATCCAAAAGATACCTGTAATATATCGACATTGGAAATTAGTCAAATATATAGTAAAGAGGAGCTCGATGTCGCAAGTGGTTAGCGCGTTCGGCTGCGATCGTTGAAGTTAAGCAAGTTTCGCAGTGGTCGGTCGTTGGATGGGTGACCAAAAATTTACTATCTCGAGTTGGTCCCGGCTGCATCTGCATCCGCACTGGGCCCGCGTAGAGGGTCATGGTCCAATCTCCCTATTCCATCCATAGGGAAGGCCTGTGCCCCAGCAATGGGGATTAATAGGCTGATGATAAATATTTTTTTTCTGCGTCGATCTGTTTATGTTTTCTGAAGATTTGAGTGCTTTTTGACGCTTAAGCAACTAAATTTTTGAAGATTTTTTGAAGAGAATGCTGAAGTGACATAAATTTTAGTGTTTTTTGGACCAATGGCGCTTATGCCCTACTATTTCGAGTAAGATTTGATGTCTGCTTGACAAATAATGTACAGCGGGCCGAGTCAATTTCATTTTCAAAAGCGTTTATTTAATAAATTTTTACAACCATAAATACATAGAGTATTACTTACAATATTTATGTTGAAACATGCATTCCGGTACATTACTTTTCGAGACTAATTAGTTGCCTATATAAGTATACATACTACACACTATAAATATTATATCATAAATTAGTAAAACTTATTTAAATTACAATTTTAAGATAACTATGAACACACTTATAAATTGTTCACTTATAACATGATTCTAAATGTAGGTAGGTAGAAAAAAATAAATAAAAATATATATAGCGGGCCGAGTGATTTTCGCTTAAACAACATCTAATTTGTAAAGGCACTTGGTAACTTTTTAATAGGGGGATATTTAGAAAGTATTATTTCATGACTATGCTTTTATTTTTATGGCACTACTTCTTAGTTTTACTGAAAAGTTACTAAAGTGGTGTTTAAGCGATTTTGCTTTGCCACTGTCGATAGTAAAAATGTTCCCTCACAAAACATGAAAAATGTTTTCTACATTCTATACATGAGTGTCCATTGTTCTTCTTCATTTTTTACCCATAAAGACAGTTGGTGAGGTACCTTTGTTTATTACATTTAATTGAACTAACCAATACCATTATTAATGGCAACTTGATTATGAATTGAAAAAATCACATTCAATCTCTTATCTAATAGACAAGTCCGTCCGTCCGTCCGTGGTGCTGTTTCAGCGGCCAAACCGTAGAGATAGGTATAGAGAATGTTTAAGTTATAAGTTAATAATAGTCTGATAAGACTACAAACCGGATGTGAGTAACGTAGCACTTCCGGTTTTCGAGAAATCACGTGATTTCTATTTCAAACGAAACCACACAAAATCTCCGAAGTTCTCAATTAATTAAATACTTTTTTTTTTTTTTTAGCGCTCAATTAATTAAATACTTTTTTTTTTGTGAACATTTGGTTCACTGGTTTGCTAGTATTTGATAATGATAGAGGCTGAACAACTTTCTTTAAGGCTATTCACTGAATAGTGTTTTGCAGTGTGGTTTAAAAATTATAGGGTGGATTAGTCTCTATTCCCTATATATGTTTCGACGACCTCCGTGGCCAAGTGGTTTGTACGCCGAGTTTCAAGGTGTCGCCTGTAACGTCGTATTTACGCCGTCACATACATAGATAAATAATATATGGTTTGACATCCGTCACTTAAGGATTTTCCCTATTTTTTTTTAATAAACGAAACACATCTTTAAAAAATTGTCTTAATTTTATAAAACATTAAAATATATACGTAATAATTGTCATTCTAAATTTAAGTAAACTTTTGTAATTTATGGTTAGTCCATGCCCAAATTTAAATTTTAATGCGCCAACACTGAGACTCGCGGCGTTTTTCGGTGTGCGACCTGGCAACATTACTTTTCGATTCTTTGCAGACACGAACAGTCACTTTTAAAAATGTGAAATATAATAATAATTTATAGTTCGGTTTCTTTTTTCAAAAATGCGCTCACCGCATTAATGTGAATTAATATAGGTGCCAATGGCCCTTTAGTAAAACTTTAAAAGAGCTGCGATTGCAGGTAAGAATTAAGATTGTCATACATAATTATATCTAGCCATGTTGCCTGGTCTCACAAATGTCTCTTTTGTTTCAGCTCTTTAAGTGATCTTTATACTCTTTATAATCCTTAATTTTAATGATATCTTTATAAATATCATTTTGATATCTTTGACCATGGACCAGCCATAATAGTCTAAGTAAAACCAATACTTAATGTACTTTGACGCCTGGAATCCAATCTGGTATGTACGCTTTCACAATAAATAATTGAAGAGGAAAACACCTTTATCATTCAACCCTAGTCAAAACTGCCTTTGAGATTAAAAGCTGATGTTCCCGTAAGTTATTCCGGACACCTGGAGATATCACCAACTTCCCGGCGCCCGTTACAACTCTCACTTTAAATGGAAGCTGAGAAGCTAAAATCGGCTACCATCAACCGGCCTTCTCCAGCCTTTTTCGTTCTCTTTTTTTTGAAATAACTAACTAGTTTACAGTCTTTTTTTAATTTTTTTACCTTACACGCCTCTCGAGAGGTCCCGGGTTCGAATCCCGGTGGGGGCAGATGTTTGTGTGATGAATACGAGCATTTGTACTCCAGTCATGGAAGTTTAATATGTATTTGTATATAAATATACTTATCTATGTACTGTATATGTATTCTATCCATTACCCTAGCATCCCATAACACAAGCCTTACAGTGCTTACTTTGGGACTAGGCTAATTGGTGTGAGTGTTGGAAATATTTATTTATTTATAATATGTCTGACTATCCATTAGAAAGGCCATCATCAGCCTATTATTCTGTTGATGGTGAATCAATGGGAACAATAGGCTTGATAATGAGAAATAATTAAACTTACCTTTGTCTGATTCTCTCCTCTGTCTCGGGCTCCGGTTGCTTCTCTGTGACTTCTGCAGCTCTGATAAGGTTTCTAAGTTTCTGCAGGCAATCAGCCAGGTTCAACTGTTGAGAGCGGGTCACATCGGAGCGAATGATAAGAAAACCATCTTTGGTTAATTTCTTGCTATGCTGAAATAATAAATAACAATGAAGTAAGTTAACAAGCAGTTTTTAACTAATAATGCAATTAAACTTGTTATTGATAAATATCTAATTATTTAATAGCGAATATATTGAAATGAAATATTAAAAAAAAAAATCTATTAAAAGGTAATCATCAGACACTGTCTAGTTTAAAGTGCAAAATTATAGCTAAATAAATTACCAATTCCAGCATTTTCTGTTTAATGTCAGGGTGTAACCAATCAGCATCATTCAACTTTAATCGTAAATCTACCTTTGTGTGGACCTGTAAATTTTAAACAATGTTTATTATTAATTAATAAATTCAACAGACAAACAGAAATTAACATAGTTTAAGGCAGCTCGACTTACTTCTTTAAGCAGAATAAATTACTTAGCAATCGGATGCTTTCCTTACAGTCCAGGATGACATGATTCAACTAATAATAAATAACAAGAAATACTCGAACCCGCACCCTTCGCAATCCGGGCGAATGCACTGACCAATTATGCTACCACGGCCTTCATGGACCGCGTCGAAATTCTTTAGCCATTCTTAAGTTGCAAGGCAGGCCATCTCTTCGCATTATAGATAACCCATAATGTCAAATGAATACTTTTACAAGTATTAAACATTTGAAAGAAGAAATAGCAATTATAGTTAGTAGTGAGGGCCGCGGTAGCATAATTGGTCAGTGCATTGCGAAGGGTGCGGGTTCGAGTCCCGTCTGCTGCCTGGTCCACGTGGAATTTTTTCTAGTTATATTTTCTTTTGATTTAAACATCAAGCAGTTACATGCTTTAAAATAATAAAAATTATAACTAACAAGAAATAGTTTATGAACTTATAGTTGAGGTGCTGGCGAACAAAACGGTATAATTACGCATCTGCTCAAACTATTTTTTTTACAGTCTGGCGGTTTTGGGCCTGTTGAATTTGAATCTCAAATAATTTTTAATCAAAACCACCTAAAACTGTTAAAATTACCAAATTCATATATTAGAAACCATGCCAAAAGCTCAATGGAGGTATGTAATTCAGTTTTATACAGCTCCTGTAAAATTTTATTTTATGTCATTTACCATTTTGTACGCCAGCTTAGTTTACCTACATAGCTACTACTGTATACATACTTTATTGACATTCTGTCCCCCAGGTCCAGAGCTTGCACTATATGTGATGTCTAACTTTTCTATTGGAATAAAACCAGAGAACTTTTCTTTAGGATCAGGAGTCTAAAAGCGTAAAAAAATATCAGTGTATTACATGTTTATTTTAGCATTAATTCTGTCGTTGCTTATTTCAAATCACTTACGAATGCTGGCGTAGTTAATTTAAGTGAACTATTTGGGTAAAGAGTTTCTAAAGAAATCGAACTCTTATAGGCCATTGGCCGTTTTGATAGAGTGGTGTAGTAAACATTATGAACCATTCTTTGTAGTAAACTTATCCCGGACGGTCTAAACGCCATAATGAATAGAAAACGTTACAATTCTAAAATTGTAATAGTATTTTATAACTTAATCTTGTTCACTTCTGTGTTTAAAGTGTAAAATAACCTAAATTAAATACCAATAAATCCAATAATACATCTGTTATCTGTCAAACAATAGATGACAGTAATAGTCAGTGTTGCCAGGTCCAATTTTTAAAAATCGGGAGGCGTTATGGAAAAAAGCAGTGGATGTATGGAAAGAGCTCCAAGAAAAAACAATAGATGCAGAGGCTTACTTTTTCCGATTTGCACCCCTAGAATTGGTAAATGAAATCAAGATATAGGCCAGTAACGAAAGTGTTTCTTTGGCTACTGCCGCCCCTCAAAGGTCGTTTTTAAAGACATACGTATTTTAAGAAAAACTTGTAGAAAAACAGAAGAATAGGAGAAATTTCAGAAAAACAGGAGTTCTCCTGGTAAATCGTGCTGCCAGATTCAATTTTCAAATATCCGCAGGCTTTTGCTTAAAAAATCCGTGAAAGTCCGTACGTGTTGCCTCTTAGAAATCTCTAGATCTACGGCATTTTTTAAAGCTTAACCTGACTATTTTAATTGGCGATGGACTGATAACGTTAACCCTAATTCCTTGCTGGCAAAAAATAGCTAACTAAAAAATCTGCGGTAAAAACTTCATGACAAAGATTTTTTAAATTATGATAATTATTAGTGTCGTTGTCACTCTAACAATTCAATTAAATGAACGAACTCAGCATATATTCCATTCCATTTTACGTTTTTCGCCTATTGGATTAGTCTATGGAGTTACTGTTGGAGTTATGCTTCATAAATTTGAAGACTTATGGTATGGTAACAGATATTTATTACAGATAAAATAACAAAAAATCCCGCAGAACAATAACTACATGTAGTGCTAGTACGTTTTTAGCGTACACTCCCACTGACGATATTATGTCGAAAAGATTTCATAAAAAAATAACCAACCTAAAAATATTTGTGGTATGTTGGCAGGTTGCATTTGACATTAGATCACTTTTAGATCCGGTATCGTCATAGTTAGTAACCAAAGTATCCACAAAGTACCCAATTTGACGATGGTAGTGGTACACACGCTGTTTATAGCAATATATATAATTGTGTCCCTTTTTTGATCTACAAATAAAAAGATAACAATAGAAAAAAAATCCATAGATTTATGACTATAATTCCTGTGTTCGTAGATCTACGGACAAAGTGGGACAAAGCCGTAGCTGGCATCACTGGCTATTTTTGTAATATTCGGCCTTTCTAAGAAGGCAAAGGATATTAAGTCTGAGCTTCAGCCTTACCTTCACATTTTTTATTTTTGCGAATATGTTAAGATTCCACTAATTCTTCTATTGCGCAGATCGTTGTAAATGGTTTTAACAATGTTGTTACACAAAGTAACACAAACCACTTCATATCACGATGTCCGCAATGAATGAACCAGAGAATAATTCAAATAAGACACCAACCGCACTGTATGAAATCGTGCCAAATACTCCTAGTTGCTGTTATAATTTTCCCTAGTTGAGACAAGGTCGTGCAACCTTATGTGGTTATGTAACATTTTCCGATGTATCTAATATTTGACAACTCTATAGCGAAAACCTTCTCCAGTAACATCTGTAGAATTCTTTCTTTAATGCGATTCAACAAGGAATAGGACCGACTGGGAGCCATATTGTGAGCTGTCAATTCAAACGAAATAGGTACAGTGAGCAAAAAAAGTTGTTCTTGAATAAAATAAGTTTTATTCAAGAACAACTTTTTTGCTACTAAGATTGAGTGAGAAAAAACATGAGTTATTTTTAATAAAATTTGTTTATTAATATTGAGAAAAGAAACAACCGATTTTTAACAATATTTATTTATTAAGACTGTGTGAAAATATCATAAATCAGAATCTAGCTCTTTAATTCCGCTCATCTCTGCATTACCGCCGGATTAGTTATGAATAATCATGCACTATTACTAGGTCACATATGAAAATGCATCCTTTATGTAAACGAAAGTTTTAAATCGATTTTCTGACCGCAACTTAAAGTGACATTTGGTTGTCGATTAAGGTTATCTACCAATCATAGCCAAAGGTCAATAAATTAAAAAATATATCAATAAATTAAAAAATATATTAATTATTAATATTTGTTATTGTTTGTTTACAAATGTTTGGTTTATATTCTAGAATTATCTGTGCTAAAAAAGGGTTCCAAGATTTTTTTTGCAAACCTTACTTTTCAAGCGACATTTGACAGATGGAGGTCATTGACTTTCCTATTCTTATTTGAATCGCACTTTGATTAGATAGATTTAGTCAGTAATTAACCCTATAGGAATCTGAATTATCAAGCTGTCCTTCTTGATTGTTCAATACAATGATCTACTAAGTAAGCTACGTTACAAATTTATTCAGATCGTTCATAATATGCGAGTCGAAGTAACAAAATCGCCAGTTTTATAAATTCTCGGTTGAAAAACGCGAAACATGAATGCGCGCGCACAGTCACGCTCCAAATAATTTAATTAGGATCCCGTTCCGGTCCGCGACTCCTCTCAAGTTTCTACGAGAATATTTAGACAGCATTATTTTATAAATTTGACATTTTTATTTCACCAGGAAGTGAATAAAGATAGATGTACTTACACACACATTAAATCTGGAGAAAGTAGAAAAGTAGAATTTGCTATTCCAAGATAATTTTCGTCTTCTCCAACATATCTCGAGTCTTTGTTCTGTGATAACCAACAAAGGGTGTATTCCGAAATATAAACCAGTACGCTGGCCAGTGGTAAGACGACATGATTTCGACGCCATATTGCACTGGTGTAGTAGTAGTGTTGTCAATATGGCGTCGAAATCATGACTTCATTACCACTGGCCAGCGTACTGGTGTTTGATTCGGAATACACCCAAAAATAACCCAATATTCTATATCTTTAAGCATTGGATATCATTTAAATAAAGTCAAAACCTTTGTAGAATATACTGCCAACAAAGTACCTAGGTAGTTTGGCAGGTAGAGACAACACTACTTGTAATAACTGATAAAAAAATATGACTTCATTGTATTTAACTGGCATGGCGGGTCAATGCCGCGGTCGTGCTCAAAACTTCGCATTAGGATTAACTTGAATGAAATTTCGAATTTTGTTTTTTGCATGTAAGTCTCATTAATATGAATTTTCTAGTCATTTTAAGTTTAATAGTTATTAAATGAAACGCAATCTCTTATTAACGCTACCTTAGACCCTCCGTGATGTAATATAAAATATAATATTATATTTGTGTATAATATTGCAATGATGAAGACAATGGTGTCAATTTTGGCGTGATTATCTAAAATTAAAACTAAATTTAACGTCAGCCTCTACTTTTCGTATTGATTTGTATAGAGAATGACAAAGATGCACTGTTGTCAAATTTAAGTCTAGATTTAGAGAATCATGCCAGAATCAACACCATTGTGTTGTTTATCGCCTCTATTAAGTAATTTCACCAGATAAAGAAGTAAGTGGTTAAAATTGTACGAATGCGCATTTCACATGAATTATAGCGATCGGCAACAATAAAAACTAGTAAACTACCTATCTCTAATATCAACTTTATGCAAATTCTTAAGTAAACCACCGGGAGTAAATAAATGAACGCATGCGCATATGTAGCTTCATCATACGTGTAAAATGATTAACGTATTCGCTCAATTCGAAACATCGATACGTGGATCACGCAAATAGCGATTATTTATTGAAGACATGTTTGATTGTGTAAATTAATTAATGCTGGCACATAATCATGAACATAGTATGCGCCAATTAGCGACGACTTATAATTTTTGTGATAAGAATTTTTTATACGATCTTGTGTGTACGCATGTTCGTATATAATTTTTCCAGCACACTTTTACGTTTAAATAGCATAGCTAAAATATTTAAAAATACTATTGCTAAACATTTAGAAAAAAACAACAGAAATTCCTGTTTACGCAGCATGTTGGCACAAGTAAATCAAACAAAAAGTCGTACACAGTCGTTCGTACACCTCCTAATAAATCCAATTTCGAATATCACCCAGTCCCAGTACTGTCTGCGTATACACAAAGTGTCACATTCGTACAAAAAGCGATAATCCCAATTTAAACAGCTATAAATTTGTCACGCATTATTGCGCTTGGTTTTTGCGCCCTCCTGAAACAGCGAGTATGCGACGCGATGCCGGCGGACGCCCCGTTGACAGAACTATAAGAGATTACTGCTGCTTCAAGTCTTGGACACTTACCCACGCGAATTACAGTATTAGGAAAAAACAGATAAATTAACTCTCTCAAATAACTTTAAACTTCAACCAAACCGATATTTTAACAAGAGTCATTCTCCAAATTCACAATGTCAATCTTTACATACAGCACAAAAAGCTGCGCAGTTGCTTTGTACTACCAATCCCCAGATTTACTGATTTGGTCCGTCGAGCTGGATCAAAGATGGATAACTTAATTTATCGTGAATTCCCAAAGATTCGAGTAAAATGATGGTTTCCTCAAAATATAATATTTCTGGCCATCGTCTACGTCTACTGCGATTAAGTTAACTTTTAGGCTAATAATATGGTTTGATTGTTATCTGATTAAAATAGTGTCTGAAACTCGCTCGTATACCCCACAAAACTAGCAGGCTGCGGACCGGCACCGCCAACTGCTTTCATCAATTATGATAATGCCGGTTGCATCTGGAGGCACGCACGCTCGCGGACCACGAACATGTCTGCTTTCCGAATTCCGCGCTGGCTGCTCCACAGATGAGACTTAACGATGCCTATCTTCATAAATTTGATGTTCCGCGCTTTAACTGTAATTATACGTTTAAGATGGGATGATTATTCTATTTTTCGCTTCTTTTTTGTAAGTTCAGTGTCCGGTGATAGCTGTAGTACTTTTTTGTGTGATTATATATTCATAGATTTAACAATGGAGATGAAACTAAACTTTTCTATCTATAAGCATGGACGTATAAAAAAAGGTATTTTATATGTCCTTTTTTTATACGTCCTTGTCAATACGTATAACAAACTTCGGGTTAATTTTTTTTAGGTTACAGGTTAAAAATCGTGCTCCATTTCTTCAACCATGTTTACGTGTGTGATAATATAAGCTAAGCTCATTGCAAAAAAAATATGTGCATGCTTCGAAAGCATCCAGAAGTCAATTTGTCATCAGAATCATTTTAACGCGTGATGAAACATTCCCAAGTTTCTCACGACTCAGATTGTCTCTTGTTCTTGCATATAATTACGTAGCTATTCAATTAATATTATAAATACTGCTTAGGGTTATCAGTTAATAAATGCATTTCTCATCTTTCTAGTCGATGGGAGTGTTGGCAGAAAATTATCGTTTAATTGTTATGTTTGCGTCTATGCATTTGCATGCTCGCTCTGACACTGCACGCGAGACGCCATCATAAATTAAGCCATGCATTTCAAAACGATATTATTGGGTGACGATTTCTTGAGGCCGATCGCGCTAAATGTCATGTTGAAAGGTAAACTTATCACGATCGGACCGTACTCAGTGAACTTCAGTCAAAATTATAAAGGACATTTCATTTGATATGTGAAAATTAGCGCGATATCGATTTCGTATAAAGTTGAGCTACAATTAGAATTTTATTAAGATTGAATCATGATTGAACTTTGGCGTATCATTGAAAATAATAAATAGCGCGTTTGGTCTGCTTATTTTCTTAAATAACTTCGAAAGGAGGAAGTGGGTGGATTTTTGTTTTTAAAAACGTAATTATTTCCACCTCCCATTACCCATAAACAAAAGAAATAGAATACTACAGTTGCTATCAACATTTCCGTGAAAATCAACGGGCAGGCTTTTCAAAATAAATTGATGCCGATGTGCTGCTGGTCCTTGGACCTTTCTTCTTGCAGATTTCGGGAGGTTCCGGGCGGATAACTATTGTCACGAATAATTCACTCTATGAGACTTCTATGCCTTTCTAAAAGTGTCCTAGATTTACTGCCGTAGTGTATAGAATAGTGTAGGTATCTAATATACAACGATATTAAAAGCGTTGCTAATATCGCAAATCATCAACTTTAACAAGGTAACCAATAGGTTACTGTTGCATTGTTAGACGTGCCTTTTTATGCATATTTCGAATGGCTACAAATAGCACTGCCGGATTTAGGGGAGGGCAACCGGGGCGAAAGCCCCGGGGCCTCCACAAACGGGGTGCCCCCACAATAGAGTCTTCGGAAAAAAAATCTTTCAAATTCAAACTAGTAAACATCTTTTCTTTTGATATTTTTTTTTGCTCTTTTACCTTTACTTACAGCCTACAGTACTTTGTACATCTAACATACATGATTATTTGATTATATTATTCTCAGGGCCGAATTAAAGGCAGGGCAGGTGGGACTGTGGCCCAGGGGCCTCCACAGCAGCTTAAGAAATAACAAAATTTCGATGGGTCAACAAGCATGCAAATCCTAAGTGGCCCGGGGCCTCCACAACAGGATAAGAGATAACAAAATTTCAATGGGTTAACAAGCATACAAATCCTAAGTGGCCCGGGGCCTCCACAATCCTAAATCCGGCACTGACAAATAGACGTAACTAATATGGAGCATAATACTGTTCGATTCTCTTTCAATAATCCTCGAATCATAATCTATCATTCAGTTGTAATAATTATAGATTGGACAGCGCAAATGGTTACTTTTTAACTTTAAATTATCTCTACATATGAGAGCCTGTTTGTCTTTACTACTCATTTCTAGTTTGTTAAAATAAGCTGTTGATCTTTCACGTAATACAAACAATAAATAATGTGCTACGTCGTACATTTTAATTCAATGTAATCCATAACGAATGTATTGATACCGCACATATTTTATCTGTTATGTTTTAATAACAGGAAAGCAACGATCGCATTCCAGCATACTCAAGAATCTAGACTTGCACTAAAACGCTCTCTTCTTAAGACTAGGGAAGTGGAGCACAGATAAGCCGGTAGAAAATACGTCATATCACTCCAGACAGATCAGTTTAACATAGCAGCAAGCTCATCGCGTGTACTCTGCCCCGTATCTGTGGATCTTGCGAGCGCCTAGCCTGAATGTAATATGAAATGCGGCTATCGATACATCGAAACATGTATCTGCAGAGATCTGCAGCAATCGCGTTCTACATAAAATGAGATTCTGGAAAGCGGAGAGTCCGGAATATGATATTTCAAATCATATTTATCTTTCAAATAAGAATTAAATTAAGTGGGAAATCTTCAAAATGGACTCGTGGACACATTACATACACCTGATAACATTATTTGTCTTTTCATAATGGTTAATATGATCCCAACTTATTTTCCGATTAGATATTATTACTACATAAATTCCTCATTAGCATTAAAGACTTTCTTTCGCATTTGTTTAATATAAATAAACAAACTAACTGAATATATCACGATCTCTTTTATTAAACCACCAAAAGAGAGTTACTTTATGATACTGTATCATTCAAAACCATTCTAATTAGTGTACAATATGAGTCAGCTGTTATTAAAGAAACGAAGACATTGAACATTTTGAACTTTCACCGGCAAAATATTTGGGAACATTTCTCGGTGCTGTCAACTTTGAGCACATTCACTGGTCTCTTATTGGGCGCTATAGTAACGGGGCTTGCGCGGCTGCCTTCACACGCATCTGCATCCGCACGGAACGGGGCACGCAACGCGCCAGCTTCACACTGCCAGTCCGCCGCGAACCGTCGTGGGGTTAGCTACGTCGCCGTTTGGAATTCCTGTATAATAATAGCACACCGGTTCCAATAAGCCGGTACGCGTACAATAATAAGGATAAATCGGATAATTTAATAACTAAAAAGTGTCAAGTTAATTGATGATTGTGTAGATTACGGTAGAAATACGCCAGATAAACTTTTTTTCTCATTGTGTAGCAGTGCTTCGCTCTCGCGATCTACTCGACAGACTCGACTGAATTTCTTTGGTGGTGTGCCTGCTGAAGTGTGAAAAGGTGAGTTTTTACGCTGGCTTAGAGTAAATTTGTTGCATGGTTTTTTACTGGGGTTTTTTTTGCGAGATGTACCCGTGCAGTTAGCCGCTAGTCGCGGGCGCGCCGGTAGGGGAGCGACTCTGAATCGATTGTCCCGGCCGCAGACGGGACTGCACGGGTTCTATCTATCTATCTACGAGTAGGTGGTTTGCCTTTCGTTTACACCCTCGCCTCGCTCGCTCCCTTGTGTGCCCACGGATCAACGTATTCGTTGTTTCATGTGATCTTGAACATGCTAGACGCGCCAGTCGGTGTATTGTTGTGCTATGAATTATTTATAAACATTATTGTATGCATGCATCGCCGTACACCATACTTGTTTACGGAGAACTTATTGTTTTTCTAAGACTGATTAATATGAATTGTCTCGGTGGTTGCTTGTTGTCGTTTCCTCTTGTGAGCTAGCTAACCGATGCAAACGGTTCACTGTTGGTTCTAATCAATTCTTTGAAAAGTGCGAATAAGTCATTCTACCCTCTCATTAAGTCTGATCCTACGAATATGATAAATGTGAAAGTTTGCACAAAACGCAACAAAATCACGCAAAAACTACTGATGTATGATCGATCATATTATAGACCAGGGTTTCTTAAAGTGTGGTCCACGGACCCCTTAGGGGTCCGTAGCAGGTGTATCAGGGGTCCGTAGGAGGTGAGTTTGCAAAAATATTTTTCAAAAAATTGTGTGGTGTGGGGCGCGGGCCCGGACTACAAGCTAGCGCGATGAGTCTTTGGCTTTGACCGTTATTGCGCAGAAGTCAAAAATTGGGTATCGAATGCTATGATTGGCGGTACCCATGCGCAGTATCCCCTCCACTCTGCGGTCAAAGCCAAAGACTCATCGCGCGAGCTGTATGTACGCGTGAGTTCTCGCCGCCGCCGCCTCGCCCCACCACCGCCCGCGCCACCCGCTCGCTCACTCAGTCGCTGCGCGCCGCACGGCACATCGTACCCGCCACTTGCATTGTTTTTAATTAATTAGTGAAACGTACAGGTACGTAAAAAGAGGATTAATAATAATAAGTATTTTTTAATTATACAAACTTACATATTCAATTGTGTAACGTACCTAATTGTATATTACATTGTTTCAGTTTGTTCAAGAAAATGTCAAAGAAACGAAAGTATGACGAGTCTTATGTTAACTTTGGGTTTACTTTCGTGACTGAACGTGATGGAACTCAAAAACCGCAGTGCTTTTTATGCGGAAAAGTGCTTGCTAATGGAAGTATGAAACCAGCAAAGTTGTCAGAACATCTTAAAACTGTCCACCCTGGAAATGTATGCGACAGCATTGATGACTTTCGTACTAAGAAGGCTCGGTTTGAAAAAGCCGGCACTTTACCTAAATTAGGATTCACCCCGACACAAAAACCATGTCTTGAGGCATCGTACAAGGTTGCTTACCGTATTGCTCAGCAAAAGAAGCCACATACTATCGCGGAAACATTAGTGAAGCCTTGCGCACTGGATATTGTGGAACTTGTGTGTGGTAAGAATGAAAGAAAGAAGGTTGAAGCTGTTCCCTTATCAAACGATGTTATTCATTCTAGAATTGTTGAAATGTCGTCAAATGTTTTAAAGCAGGTTATTGAAGAATTGAATGCTTCACCGTTTCCGTTCAGTATGCAATTGGATGAAAGCACCGATGTATCACAATGCAGCCAACTCTTGGTGTTTGTCCGTTATGTAAAACATGATACGCGTAGTATCAAAGAGGAGTTTCTTTTTTGCGACTCACTTTTAGAAACTACGAAGGCTTCAGATGTCTTTGAAATGATAAAAAAATTTTTCATCGCACAAAATGTAGACTGGAAGACTAAACTTGGTAGTATATGTACCGATGGAGCTCCCGCGATGCTTGGTAATACATCTGGGTTTGCGGCTTTGATCAAGAAAGAGTGCCCTCATGTTATAATCACTCATTGTGTCTTGCATCGACATGCCTTGGCTTCACGAACTATGCCTACTTTTTTGAAGGAAGTTATGTCTACATGTGTCAAAATAATTAACTTCATCAGAGCAAGAGCCTTAAACCACCGCCTGTTTAAAAAGCTTTGTCAAGAAATGGGTTCAGAACATGAAGTACTTCTTTACTACACAGAAGTTCGTTGGCTGTCAAGGGGACAAGTATTGAAGCGCTTGTTTGAGTTGCGAGAAGAAGTGTTACTTTTTCTGAAAAACAAAGAAAATTCATTGTATGAATATCTTGAAAGAGAAGATTTTGTGGAAGGGCTAGCGTACTTAGCTGATATATTTACTCATTTGAACGAGATTAACCTGTCTCTTCAGGGTCTTGCAGTCACCATTGTGGATGCGTCTGAACGGCTGAAAGGTTTTTTAGGTAAACTGCCACTTTGGAAAAGGAGAGTGGAATCAGGTAATTTTGCAAATTTTCCGATGTTGGAAGAGTTGATAATGCAAAAAACACAAAGTGACGGCCACACGACATCAAAGAAGGTACAGAAAGAGGTGTCTAAGCATCTGGAAACATTGCAGACGTCTTTTGAAGGTTATTTCAGCCCAGAGTCGCTTGAAAAAGAAACATGGGTGCGGAGCCCATTTTTAATCGATATTGACAGCATTAGTGATGAAGATCTTATTAAAGATGATCTAATTGACATGAGATCAAAAGAAGTTTTGAAAGCTGAATTTCAGGCAAAAGATCTTGGCGACTTTTGGGGTTCCTTAAGTCAAGCTTACCCTCTTCTAGTCAAGCGAGCTATGTCCATTTTGATACCGTTTGCTACTACGTATCTTTGCGAGGCAGGGTTCTCGATTCTGATGTCAATAAAGACAAAAAGTCGCAATCGGTTGAACGTCGCAGATGACATGCGACTTGCCTTGTCGAAGACAGTCCCACAAATTAACGTTCTCATTGAGGCCAAACAACAGCACCCTTCTCATTAACTTATTTCTTAATAATTGTAATGATTAAAGTTCAAATAAATAAAAGTATTTTATATACTATATAAGTACGGCTTTTTTTTATAACAATTTTTTTTTGACAGTGGTCCGTAGAGTTGTTTAAATTTCGAAAGGGGTCCGTGACTGGAAAAAGTTTAAGAAACCCTGTTATAGACGATGGATGGATTTGGATGAAATTTAGTACGCATATAGTTTATGGCCTGGATGAGACATATAGGATACCTTTATCCCGTAAAAATTACGACTCGTGAGACTCGAGACTCGACGTGAAACGAAAAGCTCTCGGCGAGTGTGTACAGCCGCCGTGAAATTAATGAATTTTATGTCGTATTAAACTGGTAACTCTGGAGACGAACGATTTAAAAATACGGAAAATCCATATCAAATGACTTGGAAGTCGAAGGTGACTTAAGGCACATTCGACGATACTATATCACGACTCATAAATAGAGGTCCAGGTCCTCTTTGTAGCTGAGAGCTGTCACCTCAAAAATCTGTGTAGGTACGTACCAATCCACGACGGAGGTCGTCAATATGTTATGTTTTTTTTTATTTAATGGCAATGGATACATTGTCCTTATGCCCAAATGTTACAAGTGTGGCAAACATGCATATGGCCCGTCTGATGCTAAGCATTTTTTTTTGAGTGTACGCTGTTAGTAGCAGATGACCTTTACCAACCCTTACCAAAATTACCCTAAGTATTTTTAAATTGCCCTAAAATCCCCTAAATATAGAAATTTATATGTACCTACTTATCTTATTACCTAAATTCTTTCGTTGCTCATAAATTAAAACGTTACATATTTAGTTACAGTAAATTATTTTATTAAATAAATACATTTTCCGAATGGAAAATCAAACGAAAATGAGCTGACAGGCTGTTAAATCTTATTTAGCTGTTTTGATTGTTGGAAGGCAAAGAACTTTAGTCCATACAGCCTTAGGAAACAACCTGCCACACAGTGAGTTCAGTCATTTTATATCGTGGTGCGTTCAATTCTACGCACAAAACTGAAAGAAAACACACGTTTGTTTTTCAATTTAATTGAAAGTTTTGTTAAAAGCCCCTAAAAGAACCCCCAAAAAATTCCAGCCCCTAAAAAGTCCATTTTAACCCTTCCAGCCCCTAAATCTGGGGGCAAAACCCCTAAGTTGGGAACCGTGTACCGGATTTGAGGACGGCGAGTTCCTAAGGGCAGCTCAAGCACAGCGGTGACACTCTGTACGTGAGAGTTCCAGCGTCAGTGACCTTGAGCGTATATGCGCTAGGGTTGAACTTGGAATTTAGACTTGTGCCAATGAATATTTATGCATAGTAAGTTATTAAATGTAAACTGATTCAAGGATACTGGGGTAAGTAATGAAGGATAGGTTTGATTTTATAATCAATTTTTAATCTTTCAATGTAGGTAACTTTTATATATTTTCTCCTTTTTCGATTCGTTTTATAATTCTTCTTATTATCTAAATAATAATAAGATTGCGTAGCGTAGTCAGTCTGTGAGTGCAATGCAGTGCAACGCTATTATTTTACTATTTCGCTACTGCCATGCCTTCGGTCGAGGCAGTCGGGGACTGCCCTCTCCACGCCCCGCGCGCCGCGCAACGCCCCCGCGCACCTCCAGGCACCTACACATAGCCGCGGGCGATTTTACGAGCACACATGCTTAAGTGTCGCTTCTTTTCGCTTAGTGTATATATTCTGTGCCTCAAGCCAGATGATAAGCGTCCACCATAGCCGAGTATAGACGAAACAAAAAGATATTACTCGCGCCACCCCTATCCCCTACCCCGTGGAGCCCTGGAACTAGGGTTACCAGATCATAAAATCAGAAGTCCGGAGAAAAGGCTTGATTTTCCTTGAAAAATCCTGAGATTTATACGAGGTTTATACTCTGCTGATACTTTTAAATCAATATAATTTGAAGAGCTTAACATATGGGGCATTATATGAATCCATAAATAAAGAAAACACCTTACTTAAAAATGTATCTTCACATATTAAGTATAATAAAACTGATTAAGTTAAGATTAACTTGGATAAAAAAGTACTGATTTTAATTGTGCAATTATTACCAATACAAGATTATTTTTAGTTTGTTTAACTTTTTACTAAAGAGATCTTTAAAACGTAAGCTGTATTTTATTGGAAATTCAAAAAATCCTGAGATTTCATGAGATTTGCAAAATCCAGCCGCAATCCTGAGAAGAGTCCAAAAATCCTGAAATCTCAGGACAAATCCTGAGATATGGTAACCCTACCTGGTACCCAACACCTAGACAGACACAGCACCACCAAAAGGTACTGTTATTTTACTGTTGTCTTCTGTAAGGTTGAGGTGACTTCCCCAGACGGGCGCTCCAATTTAGCGGGAAATCCGCTATACCTTACCTCTCTTTGATCACGTAATTTTTTTTTTCGAATTAAGTGTGGCTTATACGTTTCTCTTTATAATGATCTCATTAATTTTTAAGACTCCTTATTGGCATTTAAATTATTAGAATTACTAGCGGCTGCCCGCGACTTCGTACGCGTGGAGTTAGTTATTAGCACATACTTTACGTAGGTGATAGCGTGATAATATGTAGCCTATATGTTGACCCGACTTCTTAATAATATTCGTGCCAAATTTGAAGTAAATCCATGCAGTACTTTTTGAGTTTCTCCCGGACATAGATACAGAGAAACAGGCAAAAAATCTAAAAACTATATTTTTGGCTTCGGTATCGATTGTAGATCACACCCCAAGTATTCTTAAAAAAAATATATTCAATGTACAGTTTGTATGCCATTTTATTATACTACGCTAGTCTATACATCGCCCGCCCTCGCTTCGCTTCGGTGTAGAGCTGAAGTGTAGACTACAGTTTTTGCTCTCAGGCTTGTATTATACACAATGACATTCATCTATGATTCTTCTTATACCTGCATGCAAAGTCTCAGCCCGATCGGTTTAAAATTGACAAAGTGTCATACAAACTTTCATTCCCTATTTTATCCCCTTGGGGGTAGAATTGATCAAAATCCTTTCTTAGCGGATGCCTACGTCATAACATCTACCTGCATGCCAAATTTCAGCCCGATCCGTCCAGTGGTTTGGGCTGTGCGTTGATAGATCACTATGTCAGTCAGTCACCTTTGAGTTTTATATTAAATAGATATTCCTCCTGTATTCTTCACGTTCAATGTGCAAAGTGCATGTTAAGAGTGTAGGTATTGCCGCACATGATAATGATTATGACATACCACATCCTGTTTTGCTTTTAATATGAGGATGTTTTATTATAAACTTAATTATAAATAATTTTATCCTTATTTAGGGTGCGTCCATAAATTACGTGAGATGTTTAAGGGGAGGAGGGGGTCGAGTCAAATCTCATCTGATCTTACGTTGGAGAGAGGGGGGGTCTCGGCAAATATCACGCATTTTTTTTTCACAGTAGTATCTATTAAGTATTCTATTGTTAAATTTTTATTACACTTATAACTCTCAGTAATATTGATTACTAGTCTTAACCAGTCGTAAATAAAAGCACGAAGCATTTTTTTTTCTATTTACAATAACAATCCAACGCGTTTACGAAAGAAACCCACACATTTTGAAAAATCTCACGTGAGATTGGGGGTTGGGGGAGGGGGTTGAACAAAATCTCACGACATCTCACCAGGGGGGGAGGGAGGGACAGAAAATCCAAAAAAACACCTCACGTAGTTTATGGACGCCCCCTTAACACGAAAAGTTTTAAAAGTATTCTTGTGCCAAACTTATAATTGGTTACATGCAATTTATACGTTTCGCACAAGAAATAAATGAGACTTAATAATATTTTCTTTATTATAACTTTTTTTTTGTATATGTGCCCAACTTTGTGCCAAACGTATAAATAGTATACAGCCAATTTATTATGTTTGGCACAAATGGAAACAAGTGGACTGTGGAATGGACTTCAAAATCTTTTCTTTGTCATTGTCATTAAGAAATATAAAAATTTTTATAATCCTGCTCGTTGAGCAGGATTATACAATTTTTTTTTTATTTACAATTTACAATTATAAACAATGATGTGTCACATGCTAGGGTAAAACTAAAAAGAAAAAAATAATTAAATTGAATTTTTATCTAAATATTTGGTTTGTACTAGCATTCACTAATTCATTCCCTTTACGGTCTAGAGATCCGTGACGTAAGGACAGGCAGACAGACAGATTGACGACAGAGTGACAGTAATAGGGTTCCATGTTTACCCTTTGAGTACGGAACCCTAAAAAGGTGCTTTAGTTCGCAAGAAGAAATTTTACTTCCGTCTGTTATTATTTTTTTTTTTTTGCCTAAACAGTAGGACACTGCATTCCTAAACATTCCTAAACTTTGTTAAACCAGTTTTTTATATTGTTTTTGTTTTATAGACATATTTTTTATACTAGTGGCCCGCCCTCGCTTCGCTTCGTAGAGCTGAAGTGTAGACTATAGTTTTTGTTCTCAGGCTTGTATTATACACAAAGACATTCTTATTATACCTAACTACTTTAATTAATAAAAGTACCTACGCTTAATATATTTTTAATTTGAACGAATATTTAAACACTACCAAAACAACTAAAACCTATTTTACAAAATAACAACAAAAGAAATTCAAATAAACTATTTAAAGACTAAAAGTCGCGCTGATAAGCACGGTTTTTCAATATCAATTATTGTCTGTCAATAAGGTCGAACGCTCTGAACGCATCAACAGCCAAATATAGAACTCGTATTTTTTATATTATTTGCATTTGTAATGGAAAGTGACTTTATGAGTTACCTCATATTGAAGTCATTTTTCAATTTGACGACTCTGTCTATAATATAGGGAGAAAAAACAGCCCTTGCTGAGTTTCTTGCCGGTTCTTCTCAGTACAAGGTCTCCCGCCGTAGATTTGCGAACCGATGGCGTAGCTTTTCGACATTCACAAGTGCTTGTTACAGCCTAGACTGAAT